TGATGGCATCCTTGCAGAACCAAGGTCTCAGCGAAGAAGCAACAAATGCCCAAATCGACACGCTTATTCTTGACAACCGAAAGAAGCTCAACCAGGTCATCGGTTCGTACCATTCAAGCGCTACATGTACCTCATAACAAGCTCACTCGTGTTGCAGATTCAATCTTACAGGCTTGCGTGCAGAAAGTCGATGACGCCATTTACGAGCTTGAATCACCAACTCAAGCTGGCAATATCAATTCCACGCCCGAGTACACGTTGTCAATGATCGAGAAGGCTACAAATAACGCTACGGATTTCGCGATGGTCTTTAATCTCCACCTCAGCGGCGATGTCGGAGGGGATTACGTCGACGTCATTAAAGGCGCCAATGAGTTCGCGCAGGTCCTTTCAGATGTTCTCATCAACTGCAAGGGTGTCACACGACTCGCTAACGACGACGATGCCTCGGACAAGATTGTTGCAATAGCTAAGAGTGCCGGCGATGTTGGCCTGCGCTTTTTCTTGAACCTGCAGTCCTACAAGCTTGATCTTCTGCAACCCGCACAGCGGAAGGAAGTTTCGATGCGCAACAACAGCGAAGCGAGGACCGCCCTTACCCGTCTTTCAGAAGTCGTCGACACGCTCATACCCAAAGGTACCAAGGGCGGTGCTTTGGCACGGGCCAATGGTGACATTGGTGACATTGTTGAGCATGAAATGCAAAGCGCTGCAGCAGCCATAGAAGCTGCTACTCAGCGTTTACAGGAGCTTATGTCCCGGCCCCGCGACTCCGCACGGTTCAGCGCAGTTGATCTGCAAGTCCATGATTCCATCCTGTCCGCCGCTATGGCTATCACAAGCGCCATCGCAAGACTCATCAAAGCTGCCACAGAGTCTCAACAAGAAATCGTTGCACAAGGCAAGGGCTCTAGCTCAGTCCAGCAGTTCTACAAGCGGAACAACAGATGGACGGAGGGTCTTATCTCAGCTGCTAAAGCTGTGGCATTTGCTACCAACCTTCTCATAGAGAGCGCGGATGGTGTGCTGTCAGGCACACATTCCCTTGAACAACTGATCGTGGCCTCGAATGAGGTAGCGGCAGCTACCGCCCAACTCGTTGCAGCCTCCCGTGTCAAGGCCAACTTGATGTCTAAGACTCAGGAGCGCCTCGAGCTTGCTGCAAAAGCGGTGACAGAAGCATGTAAAGCGCTTGTCAGACAAGTGAAGGCAGTTTCTGCGAAGCAGGTAGTTGAAGAGAAGATGGACTACAAGAACATGGCTGTACTGGAATTCAAGAGACGCGAGATGGAGCAGCAAGTCGAGATTTTGAAACTGGAGAAGGACCTTGGCGCAGCGAGACATCTTCTAGGCGCGATGAGGCGTGCGGGTTATCATACTGATGAAACGGACTGATGGATGATCGGGATATGATGTACCACTTAGATAGTATTCTTCTAATTTTGTGTTTGTGGAATTGCCAGGAGGATCTGCGACTCAAGTATTAAATGTAACCACATAATTCAATGGCTTCGTTCGAAAGGGTCCTTGCCATTGGTCAAACACTCTTGCCGCTCTAAAAAGCGAAAACATGTGCCTAGCAAACGACGGTAACACAGACCGTTAATGTAAGTGGTTGTTAGGGGTAATGACGAGGGAGGGAAATGTAGTGCGGCTTGAACTTGGCTTAAACTACTAAGACAATGCGCTGAAATGTCAGTATATTAATATTCGAGCAGTAGTGTAAGTAGCGTAAGAATAATGGACTGAATAATTGATCGGTTTAAAAGAACGTGTCTATCGGGAAAGGGGCTGCGTCAAATGGGGATACAATCCCCATCGTCGTCAGTCGAAGTCCCGGGAGAGATCAAAAGACTCTTTGCCGCTGTCAAAATCCAGGAAGCTGCCTTCACAACAACTAGCGTCGTCTGCAATCTCCAGGAAGGAGGGTTTCCTAATTACAGATCGCTGCGGTACCGTTGTGTCGCCTACGAGCAATGGCATTTGAATTGCAATTGCACACTTTGGGCGCCGCGGCGGGGGCGATAGAGGGATGAATGGGACATTGCTTGATCGTCTGCTAAATAGGTCTTCATGATACATCGTTTCAGCGGTATGTGGACGAGCTCGTGGACGGTGTGGGGGCGATAGACTAGCTTTGGTGGATGATGATCGGGACGTCGACGTCGAAGAAGCCGTTTGTGCAGTGGAGGGACGTGGAACTGATCTAGGTGTGGGGCCTTTGGAAACATTTGATATGCTACGAGTAGGAGCCAAACGCGGAACAGACGACAGAGCCGTCTTCAGGCCTTCTTTCCTGTACATGGTACCATACATAGGCGTCGATGCAAATGTGGCGCGCTGGGGATTTCGTAGAGCCTCTCCGTACTTCGCGTCAAATTCACCCTGCACAATTGCCTCCATCTTCAACATTTCCGCGGGGGACATAATATATTGCGGGGAAAACTCCGCAGCTGGGTAAAATATGTCCGATGTAAGCGGATCTGAAGAGGGCTCATCAAGCAGGGACACAACGGCTCTGGGCGATGCTAAGTGGGAGCGCCCTGCTTCTGTTGGAAGACTGAATACCGAGCGTAAATCTTCATCTGTGATTATTGCTGACGGTTTCCTAGATCCTGAAAACATACGTTTTCGCACGACAGTGTGAGGATGTGGGAGCGGTGGTATACGACTTTCAGCAAATAAAGGATCGTAATCGGATGGTGTGGAAGGGGAGGCTAGCGTAGACGTAGGGGATGTGTGAGCGTGTGAACGATGGAAGGAGTGTTGTTTTTTCAATCCCTTGTCTCCTTTAAAGAATTCTTGCGTACCGCCGGAGCCCAATTTAGCCTTTTGCAGGGTTGAATGCGACATAGACTTCTTCAGCTGGTGGAAAGCTAGCGGTGGTGGAGGCGATTCTGCGGTATTCCTGGCATGAATGCGGCTCGACTCCTTTACCAGTTGATGTTGAGTTTCGAAGTCATGATCAAAGCCTAGGTTAATCTCTTTATAACGTCGATCATTAATGTCCTCCATTGCCAGGTCTTGGATTCGCCAGGTGGGTGAAGCACACGATATGCCGGAAGAAGAACTCCCATCCGCCGATGACGGGAATCTATCTTCGGCACCGTCGTCGGCGGGGTCGGATGTGACGTGTGACATTATAGGAGGTGGGGGAAGTTCACGAGCCGGAGCAGGACGAGAGGTGGATTGCTGGCGACTGAGGGTACGAGAGCGAACGTATACTTCGGTGGAGGGAGAAGTGGATCCTTTTCGAGGCTGAGACACGGTACTCGCAGCCTGGAACGGGCTGGGCGCCGTATAGCCCCTTCGACACATTGTGGATCGTACAGCCACAGCAGGAAAATCTGGGGGACCTTTGTGACTCTGATCAGTCAAGGTTACCACAGATGATTGCTTTGACAGCGAAGGTTGAAAGGGTACATCCAAAGGACTGCAATGCACAGGGCCTTCTAGGATTTTTTGACTGTCTATTATCTCGTTTCTCTTGAACGTTTCTCTACTGAACGAGTTGAGGACGAAAATTTCTGCAAGAGCAAAAAGCACCTACCTAGGCGACGTGCCCTGACCGTCTGCTATAGGAGAAGGCCCAGTAGATTCCAGCGATGGTGTCGCATTGCGACTGTCACTGTGAGACTGTGAGGACATCGAGAGATGTGATGGATGCTGCAAAAAATCGACTTCGTCTTTATTTGAAACTACACCATGTGCTGAAGTGTTGGAGTAAACGGACATGTTACCCCGGTCTAAGATGCTTCGGGGCACAGAGATACCGCCTGATGCGAAAGGATCAGGGTCTGATAGTGTCAAAACTGAGCGGGGAAATGAAACACGATCTGTCTGGACATCAGGTGGGGTCCTAGGTTCAAAGGAGTCGTCTCCAGAGCGGATAGTAGATGAAATAGATTTGGCGGGAGGTCTATTAGTGTACTGGTCAGGATTCGAATAGACTGTAGGGGCAGAAACGATGGATGGTACTGGAGAATCAGGAATAGCTAGAGTCGGACGCGACTTTTTGGACTTTCTGCCCATGACAGACGCAAAAGGGATGAATTTGAAGCTATCAGAGGGCATTGAATTTTCGACATGTACCGGGAATTTTTCAGTTGGTACTGCTGAGCGGCCAAAGTCATTGGAAGTAGGAGATTTGGGAGTTGTGACACGTTTTGAAAACCAATGTCGAGCGGAAGACATGACGAGGAGCAAAAGAATGTGAGGGCTTATACCCTGGCAGTGTATAAATTATACAGCGAATCCGTCCTGAGGGGTAATAATCTTGATTGTTAGAATACAAGCAGACTTGGACTGAAAAGGACGGAGGACATTAAATCCCAGTGATACACTGCTGCTTTGAAGTGCTTGCTGGAGCAAATGTGAAGGAAAGGAAAAACCAGCAGCCAAGCAAGCAGGCAATCAAAACGTTTGATTTCCGTAGATACCGTGTAATATTCGTCGGACAAGCGGATGCAAACGGACGCTTTGACTTGAAAGCAGATACGTAATAAAATCATGTCACACGATCATGTGTTGCAAGGAAGAAATCAGTTTCTTAGGACACCGTGCATAGTAAATTTAACTCTCAGGGAATACCCCAGCACTTGATGGTTCTAGTGCCCGTAACACACAGCGAAGACTTCGATATTAGTCACAAGTACAAAGATAATAAGTTTAGCTTAGATTTGTTGCACCGATTCAGCGAATGACATGATGCATAACCTCAAATTTGACTTCATGTAAGTACGAGGGTATACGTATCCTGGACCTGTGAGAACGTGGCAACCAAGTTCATCACTGCTCATGAAGTAATTAGCCCTGGGAAGTGAAATGAAGTCACAGACCTTTCGGCTCCCGTTAGTGCTTTCGAGTGGCTTACCGCGGTCCCGATGGTCATTTAAATTATAATGAGCGTTAGAGTAAAGTTCACATACAAAGAAGCACCAAGGAGCAAGCCTAAAACCGCCCATGATGATGAGCGAGCTACTCATGATAACTGTCTGGGTGGAAGATTGCGACGTCGCCTGATAGCCAATATAAATCGGACCTGAAATCGCTAAGTAGTACCGACCGGGATGATCCGTGCCGACCTTTGATTTGGCGATGATAGAATTAATGACAAGCTATGACAAGGTTATCCGAGTAGATTGTGTCACAGAGAATCGAATCGAATGTATAACTTAGGCTGTGGATCACCCCTCGCCTCAACCCAATTCCGCCCAGACATCCTCATCATCACGCTCGTGTACAGCCTGTGCAGCCCGTGGCATATCTGACATGCGAGTGGGTTGTTCGTCGTCTTGTGCATCAAATAATACTGCATCTTGTACAAGTGGTCGACCCAGTTCTGGATCATCATCTTGATCGTCATCTTCCAAATCATAGTCGAGGCTACTATAGCCTGCTCTCCTGATTGCGGAGATATCGATTGGCTTTGGCCTGGAAAATATGGACTGGCCGGATCTGTCTTTGAGGTTAATGTACGATGCGTGAACTGAGATTTGAAACACACTGTCGCATGACCGCCGCTAGACGGCCGAATTGTAGGACATTACGTGCAATAAGCAATAGAGTGTCCAACAACTCCTCTTCCTTACTCCCTGCCCCACACCCCGCAAATGTTATGACCAACAAAGTGATCGCACAGAACAATGTGAGTATCAGATCCAACACATTGAACGGTGATCTCCAGAATTGCTGCTCGTGTCAAGTCACCTCGGCGACCGAAATTCAAACATGAACAAATACGCACCCGACCAAACGCAACGAAACGCACGCCAACCTCCAGGATCATGCTCGTGTTAATTATTATCTCCAAGATATAAAATGACAACCCTGGACATCCGTCCGACAAACTCAGCACGACGGTTGTCACGGACAGGGCCGCCATGGACAAGTAGAGAAATATGTACGTGTGCGAGTGCACAAAGCGATTCGCAATTCCGCGGGTTATTTCTTTGCGGGTTAGCGCATAAATGGATCGTGTGGGACTACAGGTATCAAGCAATACATGAGCAGACTAGAATATGCGTAACTTCAGTATATACATACACAGGTTGTGCTGCACCGTTCGAGGTGTCATTCAAAGCATCCGACTCCGCCGACTCGTACACGTCGGGCATGGTTGACAAAGCAGGCTGTATGGTTGTGGACCTTGTGGTATGAGGCTCATATTGCTACGTACCACAAACAGCAACCGAGAAGAATACGCAGTATACCAAATAACCGCAAATAAAAGTGTTGTAAGCTCAATACTCTTGGAGCGTTGGACTGATCCATTCGGTCCTTTGCTCATCGCCACGGAACACCTTTCATTTAACCTCGTATTAAGAAAAGCTAGCAAAGATGGGTGGTGGAGACTTGAACATGAAGAAGTCTTGGCACCCGCTCCTGCTCAAGAATCAGGAGCGGGTCTGGCTCGAGGAGAAGAAGGCTGTGAGTGCCAAATAGTGCTTGTGGGATCATCTTTGACTGATTCTGTTTCATAGCTCGAGGAAAAGAAGAAACTTGACCAGCTGCGCAAAGAGAAGGAGGAGGAAAGGCAGCTGCAGGAACTGCAACGTTTACAAGAAGAGCAAACAGGAAAGAGAAAAACTGAGAAGCTAGAATGGATGTATGCGACACCTGCGACTGGGATTAATCAGAACGCAAACGATTTAGAGGACTACCTGCTGGGTAAAAAGCGGGTCGACAAGATCTTGACGGCCGATGAGAACGCACAGGTATGTTATGATGTCTCTATGGCTTTCATTTACAGATCAACAAGTGACTTTTGTAGCTTGGCGCATCTCACAAGAACTTCATCGCCATCCAGAATGCTAATAATGTTCGAGACATTGCCGCCAAGATTCGTGAAGATCCGTTACTCGCTATCAAGCAGCAAGAACAGGCTGCATACCAGGCACTTATGTCTAACCCCCTCCGTCTTCGTGAAATGCAGGAACGGAATGGTATAAAGCCAAAGAAAGAGAAGAAAGAGAAGAAGCGAGAGAAGAAGGAAAAGAAAGAACGGCTTGCTAAGGAACGGCTGGACCGATCAAGGTCAAGAAGTCCTGTAGGGGAATACAAGAGGAATGATCGTCGGTACGATGCTGACGATGACCGCCATTATCGGAGACAAAGCAGAAGTCGTTCCCCTGGCTACCGCAGAGGTCGTGACTCTCTCGACGACGGCGTCCGAACTTGGCCACGCTCGGACGAATCAGACGACAATGGCTATGGGCGTCGCAGAAGCATCGAGCATAGTGGCAAACGAACAGAAGACGACAGGAAACGGAGACGCAGTCCTAGTCCCCCGCACCGTAACCCATACCCGAAGCGTTCACGCTATAGTCCTCCGAGATCTGATTCCCGCCCCGAACCCTCCGCCAAGAAGCAGCTACCCAATGCCGCGGAAGACCGTGTTGCAAAACTAGCCGCCATGCAGTCGGGTGCCGCAAAAATGGAGGTGGAGCGGCAGCAGCGGCTCATGGCACTGCTTGAGAAAGAGAAGGCTGACTTGGAAGCGGAAGAGCGAGCCCGCGCAAAGTCAAAGGGCATGGGTGGCTTCTTAGGGCAAGAACAGAAGAAGGTCTTTGGTGGCATAGGTGGTTTAGAAGACAGGCTCAAGCGGGGAAGAGGCGGCCTAGTTGCCGACGCGGACTGAGATTTCAGTATGTATTTTTGTGTCTTGTAAATGATCTGCTAAATTATTGTACGCATACTGTTTACTTGTTTTTTCAATAGCTTCGTACTGAGCTTTCGCTACTCCACCAGTTCCCTCAGTCTGACTATATATGCAAAAGTCACCGGTTGAGCACTCATTGGCACTATAGCAACAAAATCGTGACCTTCTGGGTTGTCGCCGCAGCTGCTGTCTCCAGTCTGAGGGAATTCGAGGGACAGCTGTTTTGAGCTGCGTGTGAGGTTGAAGACACCACATTATGGAATTGCTACAGCTGGCGACAATTGCCCTTAGACTGGAGAATTTCGTTGCGATTATGTATGTTTCCACCAAGTCATCAACGCTCTTGGACTGGACAGTATGGTCAGTGGTCATTGTCATTCCTACTCTTACAAAAAGATGATAAGTACTCCATTGTATCAGATATAGCCTCGTGAGTGCAGTGCTTCTACCACGCAAAGTCGAGCCACCCCCGTCGAGACGGTTGCTACTTCCGCCTGATCTTTTCCCTGTAAAGAATGACAAGTGACATCGACCTCTGGCCCGCGATGATCCTCTCGGAATTTCTCTTGTCGACACATTGCTTGACTTGACTGCATTTCGAGGCCAAGACTTCTACCTTGTCGAATCTTCAGCCCTTTTGGCGCTGCTTAGGACAGGTGACTCACGAGGAGTGCATGATGTTACGACCACCTCTACATCTTCTGCGAGATCTGGCGAACCACACTCTTGGAGCACTATTATCTGAGCCTGAAAAAAATCCTTTCCGTCGCTGTTACAAGCGCTGGTGGTGCAAGTGACCCGACATAGTCAGCAGCTAGTTTCTTCCGTTGATTCCAAAACCGAATTGCAGACCCTTGGCCGCTCCGAGACGCTCTGGTACCGAGTCGCAGACATATCTGACATCTTTGGAGATTTTGAATGTGAACTGGGCGTCCGGCGCCAACGTGCCGCGAAGTGAAGAAGATACACGCAAGATACAAATTGACCAGTCATATTGACTTTGTCACTTTACTTCGGCAAAGCACCGCGTATGTGTTTACGGCAACTTACATATTGCTGTACTGATAAACGCATGAGTCACGCGGTGTATCAGATTTTTTTACGTTCTGAATCTCGCCGGACGCCGGGCGGGGAGGACTATTTTGCCTCGAAATCTGGTGTACTAGTGTCATGTGCAACGTCATACATCAGTGTCATCCCAATTTCCCGACCTCGTGCTTGCCCAAGACGGAGCGGTTGATGTAGTCATGCTCGGTACCGTGACTTGACTCAGTACGTACTCATGTCGTTTAGCCATAAATAGTGGGCGGCCTTGGTAAGTCAGGGAGTCCCTTTATCATTCCGATCTGAAGGCATCTAGTGGGGCGGTTGGCGCGTGGATCATGGCCCACGCTGGACAGACTCATCATATCTCAGTAACCTCCCCCGGGGCTAGGGGTGCTGCCACACATGAACTCGAGGAACAGAAGGTCAACAAGCAAGCTGCAGAAAAGCTATATAGCATATACACTCGCCAAGAAAAATGGTTCATTGTAATGATAGCCTCTTTGGCTGGATTGTTTAGGTGCAGAATCTTCATCCGCACGTGAACTAGAGGGACATTCTGACCATCTCTCTAGCCCGCTGACCGCAAATGTGTACTTTCCTGCAATACCGACGATCGCTTTAGCTTTTCACAAATCTATAGAATCAATCAACCTAACCGTCACCGCCTACATGGTCCTTCAAGGCATCTGTAAGCCGATAACTCAAAAGTTTATGGGAGGAATAATTATTTTCAAACCATATCAGCTCCTATGTTCTGGGGGACCATGGCGGATAGGTTTGGACGACGCCCCATCTTTCTCGCTTGTCTCCTTGTCCTGTGTTTATCTTGCATCGGCTTGGCGTTGGTCCCGACCTCAGCATACTGGTTATTAATGCTCTTGCGATGCATCCAGGCTGCTGGTTCTGCCAGTACAGTTGCACTAGGTATGTGCGAGCTTCGTTGTGATACCCTTTCATCTTACTGGAGCTATAGGTGCTGGGGTAATTGGAGATATAGGAACTCCCGCAGAACGCGGGGGATTTTTCGGCATATTTACCTTGGGACCACAAGTACATAGCGTATTACTTTTGCTGCATTATGCACTCTGATACCCGCGTAGGTTGGACCTGCTCTGGGACCTGTTATTGGTGGTGTCCTTGCAGATAAGCTCGGATGGAGGTTAGTTCTTATCTGGTACATTGAATGTAGCTGAATGCGTTACAGGTCTATCTTCTGGTTTCTATGCATCATGTCTGCCGCATGTTTTGCTCTTATGCTCATGTGTGCAATCCATTTTCTGTAGCATCTCTCTAACCTCATTCATATTATTCTAGTTTCCTACCTGAAACACTCCGTCGACTGGTGGGTGATGGCAGTGTGATACCATCGCCTTTCTATCGTCCCCTCGTGCCAATTGTTGGGAAAGGGCGTGTAGATCGTGATGCCCCAAAGCCTCCCAAGCCCGCACTGAACAATCCGTTACGCCTCTTCTTCTATCTGGACGTTCTAAACCTTCTCGTATTCAATGCAGTTCTATACGCCGTCTTCTATGCGGTAAATACCACCATATCCACGATATTCGCAAACAAGTACCCGTTCCTGAACGAAATAGATATAGGATTGTGTTTCCTAGCGATTGGTGGGGGGATGACCATTGGCACTGTCTTTTCCGGCAAAATGCTAGACGCTGATTTTCAAAGAACTAAAAACAGGCTCATGAAGAAGGCTGAAGAAGATTCTGAGAAGCACATACGGCCCGAGGACGTGACCAGGGAGGAGAATTTTCCAATAGAAAGAGCTAGGCTAAGGATGATGCCCATATTTACCGCAATTTTTATCTTGACATGCGCTGGTTATGGCTGGTCGCTTCAGCAGGAGACAAATATCGCAGTTCCACTGATCCTGCAAGTTATATGTACGTATTTACCTTTCCTTCCCCCATACCCTTATTTATGTGAATCAACAGTGGGTTATACAGTCGTCGCTACTATGAATGGCGTGCAGACGCTACTCATTGATCTACTACCATCCCAGAGTTCTTCCATTACCGCATGTGTAAGTTTCATTATCGCTCGATTTATCAACAATCTTGATTACTTCGTTTCAGAATAACTTGGTCAGATGTTCCTTGGGTGCTTTGATGGTCTCTGTCATAGACTTGATTGTCAATGCGATAGGCCCTGGTTGGACCTATGTACTGCTTGCAGGGATATGCTTGGCGTGCTCTCCCATGATCTGGTTTGCTATTTGGATTGGTCCGCGCTGTCGTGCAAAGCGACGGGCTCGTGATAATACCGCTTGATCATGGTGTCTACCAGTACGTACAGAAATGAAGTTACGGGAAAGTGCCTGTAGAATATATGCTAAACTACTTTGGTGCAAGAGTGTTATGAATCAACTGAACATGCAATATATGCAGAATGTGTATCCGCCCAGAGCTTGAGGGAAACCCACTTTAAAAATTGCGCTGCGATTGATCTCCTATTTCGTGCCTAAAACATTCTCTATAGTGCGTATATACTCTTAATCGATGTACCGACAACATGATACCTACTAAAAATATATGACACTGATCTTTCATTCGTTTATGCAAGTACACATCGTCCGACCAGCTGAACCAATTTTCGGCAGTTTCGAGTAAAGATTCCCCCTTCTTTCTCGCAGATTCCAATGCGACCCTGTGCAAAGGGAGGCGTATTGGGGGGTCATCCAAACGGGACAACTTGTAGACCACTTCTGCAAACTTGGCCGGATCGCCATCAAAATGCGTGTCCTCGATGTCAGGATAGAGAGCTCGGTATTTGCGACTTGAGAGGGTTGGGTTCGATTCATAAGCAGGGTGAACCGGTTCTGTCATACGGCTTTGAATCATCGACGTACGAAAAAGGCCAGGCTCGATGAGGGTGATCTTTTGTCAAGGTAAATTATGTTGAGTTCCAAAATTGAGCGATACAAGCGACCTACTTTGATTTGCCACTCTGGGTCAAGTTCGGCGATATACCCTTCCGTCAAACATTCCAACGCTAACGACACCCGGTTGACCTTCAGATCTTTAAGACGAAGTTGAGAGCCTACCTACCAGCTTTACTATCATTAGGATGTTAACCTGCCAGGAAAATTGTGCAGAATACATGAACTTACGCCGAAGCATAATGTACAGTGCCAACCTGTGGAATAAAGGCATTCCGGGAAGAAACGTTCAATATCCGCCCTCCTATGGGACGATTCACGTCCCTGAAGCATCGAATGGCTTCACGCATGACATTCTCCGCACCCCAGAACAGCACATCAAACATTTCTCGTGCGGCCTTGTGAGGCATGCCTTCAGTTTCTGATACTATATAGTATCCTGCATTATTCAGCACGACATCGACACGACTGAAGTGCGAGATGGCCTGATTGAACGCTGTGGTGATCGAGGGCGTATCTGTTACATCGAGTGGGAAAGTGACGAGGCGGGAAGAAGGGTATTCAGCAGTGAGGTCTTCCAACATCGATGGTTTGCGCAGGGTGGCAACTACGTTGTCTCCTTTGCTCAAAGCGTATTCGACAACCTTGCGCCCTAGACCAGCCGATGCACCAGTGACTGGATGCGGAGAAGGTTGTCAGCTTCGTTTCCTGATCAGTAGTAAAAATGATTGACTAAACCAAACTTTCGGGGAGGCCATTGTTGAATACTGTCTGAGGTAGACTTCACCGTGACTCTGGGTTGGCAGTCTGCGGAAGATGGACAAGCGGGCAGCCATGCATAGTGACCACCATACTGAGTTTTATGATAGAGGGATGGACCGGGCCGGCATTGATACTGGTAGGGCCTGGCCGCCATGAGAATATCAACCTTGGGTCAGGCCCCTGACTATTTTCCTCGTCAAGATAACTATACATCATCTGACCAACTAACGTGATTTTTGACAGCTCGTAACTTCCAAGGCTGTTTTGTGCACCGGGAGATAAAATGGGGGATCAGCTAATTGCACGAGCACATGCAAAACTTGTAGATGATGACCGTGACGAAAACATGCGAAGGGCGCTAGCTGGTGTCATTACAAAGGATGCTTACTTGAAAGCTATACCGGACGTCTTCCAACAGTGGTGGTAAGTCAGGCGATGAGAGTGGCGATGCCGATACTCGAGTCCATCTCCTTCAAATATTGGCCGAAACAGTGAACGACGATGAAAACTGCATCGCCAACCTTCCAGGTCGCTTCCGCTCTCTAGTGACATTGCGACCTCTGCCAAAATTTCGCGATGCATTGAACGATGTCAAGCATGTCGCACGAAAGTCTTTGGGTAGTCGTTCATGTTAGATGTCATTTTACTAACGCAGCACCGCCGTTGAACTCAGGGATGTGGCGAGCACCCAGCCTGAGAGACTCAGTCGGAGTCGGAGATGAAGACTTTAGGCTTGCGCGAGAGACTTGCCAATCAGGCTAGCTTTTGGACGGTTGATGGCACAATGCATAACGGCTAGTTCATCCGATCATGATGTGGGCTCAGTTTGGGCTGAGTCAGTCTAACCAAACATTGTCCATTTTCGTATTTCTCGATCTTGATCTTGATCATGACTGGTGATATAGCAAGTATTCAAGTTAACCTCAAAGAATTCGTGTTTGATCGCGTTCTGGATGAAAGTACGTGTAGTAATATTGTCATGACGAGCTAACAACAATTTGATCATATAATGACAACTTAGACGCGCTCGCACATACGTTAGCCGTCCTGGGCACACTACCCTCACCATCGGCACCCTCTGTACCTCTTCGTGCCGTCCTTCGCTTCGAGCGCACGTCCCTGTCATCTACTGTCGCTGCCCAGCTCTCATCTGGCATTCTTGAGTCTACCAAGAAAATCGGAAGCACTGACATTGTATATCCTGTCATCCTTTTCCTCTCAACCAGACACTGATCTTTTTGTCCATTGTAATTCAGTACTCGTGGTTCTTTGCATGGCTTCACAAGCGCGATGACTCCCCTGACGTGAAGATCTATGTCATCTGCCCCGCTACTGACGTCCACGTCCGCAAGGTCCGTCTTATTCATTTCTCCGTTATCATTCAGGTTGATGGCTATGCATTAGTATACAAAGCAGGACGTTCTCATGGTGCACGAGACCCCCGCCCTCTACCAGTCTATTGTCAAATCATACATTCTCGCCTTCGACCCCGCACGCACACAATGGTATTCCTTGTCTCAGTCACAGCCCACAAGCTAACCACATCCCCAGGGTCCAGGACATCCTCGTAGGTACCGCTGAAGCATCCAATATCCTAAATGCCTCTTCGGACTTTCTCATTCTTCCCGACATGAAGTGGGACACAACCAATGTCTCCGACCTCTACCTCCTCGCAATTTATACACACTCTGACGTACACTGCATGCGCGATCTCCGCAAAAAGCCGCACTTGGAAATGCTCAAGAACCTTCGAAGAGATGCTTGGAGAGTTGTGCAGAATAAGTGGGGTATCGGCCGTGGTGGCGTCAGGATGTACATCCATTATCAGCCGAGTTATTGTGAGTAGTTATTCAAGGATCAAGGATCAATTTAATCTATTGCACAGACCACTTTCACGTGCACATTGTCCACACTGGTCATGTCGGGCTGCACGGTATGACAGTGGGGCAAGCTCACTTACTAGATGATGTAATTGCGTTGGTGCGTGGTATTTCCATACTAGCACGATAATGGTGATGTCTTTTATATCTTGTCTTCGCAGCTCGAACTAGACCCTGACGATGGCTCTTCCGTTCTTGGGCGCATGACATTCACTTACGGACTCGGCACAGAACATGGGTTGTATAAAGCCATGGCTGCAGCACTTGCAGAGGTGCATGATACGGATTAGATGGCGATGGAGAATGTAGAGCACCGACAGGGAACTCAAGATACCGTAAAAAGCTAAAGGCCGGCAGGAAGTACGAACAGTACTAGTGTAATAATATGCATGAAAAAATCCTCAGACTCGAGTTCTGTGTCCGTCAAGTAATAACATCTATAGTGTAGGTAGTGTCTATCGTAGGACTCGGCGCCAGCGGACAAGAATCAAGGATAAAAAAATTATACTGTAAGAACGCACTGAGTGCCATTGCACTGATGGTTCATCAACCCCTCGAGAACGTATTCATCCTACTCCATCTATTCTTGAGATGTTCAAATGGCGGTGGTAAGGGGAAGCCGCATCATCAAATTTGGCAAGAAGTCCACAGGCTAAGGCAATGCGATCGACGACTCGAGACATGTTCACCGAGGTCTGGTGCTCTCCTCGTTGGGAGTGGTCGTAGAGAACAGCTCACTGTCTATGTCGATTTCATATGCGCAAAACGACATGTCGATAGTGTGCAGGCGGGGGCTATGATGTATAAGATGGGCAAATCCCATGAAGGTAAGAGATGGCAGGACTCGATAACGACCCGCACTTCCAATCCCAAAATCCTCGAGCTGAGGCAGGATTACACCATTGTCTTGAGTAAGGCATTATCGATGGCCGAGGTACATATGCAATCGAGCTGTAAGTGTGTCGAGCGACTAAACGGCAGCACCGGAGCAACTATGTTAAAGTCAAGTGCTCGGACTCTTATGAGACAGCGATTAAGGGCAGAAAGTGATGGTTCAGCGATGTGCACTTCATCAAGTTGGAAATTTTACATTCGAGTGGGATTGGATTGGGTATTATTATCGCGGTATGGCTTGAGGAGGGACTTGAACGATGGTAGAGAAGCCAAACGAAGTAGCTCTCGTGCACCAAGGCTCTGGCATGCGTTGCAACAGAAAAGTTCCCGCAAGTCACATAGACCTCGAAGGTGCATCTGAGCTCCAAGGGAGGCTAACGAATCACAATTAGGGGACAAGACGGTGCTAGCGTGTATCCCAGTTCTAAGAATGGAATGGGTAACCCAAGGGGGTTGCACAATAGCGGCAAGAAGTGCTCTCGGTCGTCACACCAGACCAAATGCCAAGAACGTGCGGGCAATAGCGCAGAGAGGTCTTTGCATCGTCTATTGGAAGATTTGGGCATTCACTATCATGTGGATCTTTTGCAATTGATTGCCTACAGCTCATCAGCAAAGGTTGTCGAGCACGAAAAATGGATGAGGCACTGACCTGCACAATTTCGTAACACAAAAAACAAAGCCTAAAGTCCCAAGTTGCCTGGAGTCGAATGATCAGACGCTGCAGACAATGAGGAAGATGACAAAAAATTACAAGGTCGTCCAACATCGAGTAGAATGCAAACAGGCTGTCCTGACGTTCAAATGTAACACTGATGAATTTTGCTTTCCTCTATTTCTCGGCACAGTGCAAGAGATATGGCAGTGACTGGCGATGACCGCTCGTATAGGTGTGATTTGTGTAGCATGGATTCACCGCGCAGGAATCACAATGTGATAGAATATGGACCAAAAGCTTGAGGACGAATGCCTGGAATCATCCCGGAATCAAAAATTAGCGAACGCCGTACAGAGGAAACGGCAACTTGCCCGTTGGCAGTGGGAGGGTAGCAGCACAACATCCTGGTTCAGTCAGAGCAACGATATTTCGGTAGTTCTATAACGAAATCAAGATAGTAATGCTTCGTGATCAAGCCTTGACGCAAGTTGAAATTGCTGGATGCATCGTGAGGCAGGAAGAAGTATGTAGAGGCTCAGCTTGTCCCAGACAAACTTCAGGTGCAATGCTGAGCCATCGTCTTTCCATTGTAGTGAACTGTTCTCAGGCAAAGTCGTCCTCTTGCCAGAACTTTCATGCATGGGTAGGTGGTGTGGTCCCAGACGACAATTCCGTTAAGATAAATCAATACTTAGATTTCTGAGACCGGTATTGATTAATCGGCTAGGAGGCTGCAAAAACTTTGGCTGGAATTGGCGAGCGGAGTTGTGTGCACGGTCCACCCAGGGTCCTGAGCCACTTCGATTTCAAGTTTGTGGACCTAACACCCACGAATTCGGAACCATTCACGAAACCACTGTCGTCCCGCAACGCAAAATTAGGCTTAGCATCAACCACTCAGGCAAACGCAAGAGGGTAGACGAATTTCTTGAATTGTTGATCTTGAAGAACGACACGAGCGGCTTCGATACCACTTGACGCACCCATGGACCCCTTGCAAATCAGAAGTCGCCTTGGACGTATCATGCCCCTCATGAGGGCACGCAAGATGCTTGGTCGCACTTCAAGTTAGATCGGTCACAGCTCGACATTGCCAACTGCGTCAAGAAAGGCAAGAACTGCAAATCGCGACGGTGAAAAATGCCAGTTTTTTTGGTCAGCAACGGCGCTGGAGGTCTTCATGGTTTATGCAGCTTGATGGCATTTTCTTCTCAGATTGGATCATTCGGTTCGACATTCTTCACGTCTTGATGCGCGGAAATTTGTGGAGAGTTTGGGACAGCTTACGGTGCATGTAGGGGGGCATTGAGCCAACTCATAGTCACTGGTGAGTGTCTTGTTCACTCAAACCATGTTTTGTTTCTGGGGCATATCAATGTTGGCATTGGTTACCACTCGTTGATGTTGATGGAGGCGATTGCGTCAGTTGAAACTTGGGGGGTCGATCTTGATGCAGCCATAGCGACTATATCTTGACTCATATTAATGCTTGACACATCTTGGGAGCTTGATAGCACGCTGTTGAGTCGTGTTCATGTTTCATGATGGTGGTTGGAAACTTGCCTGGCTCGTGCGCGAAGTTGCTTTGATACCCCTTTTTGGGTCACGCAATGTGTCACACTTTGTGTCACGCTGTCCTCGCTGACAACGAGTGACCCAACATTGGGTGTTTTTTGTCTGGCATGTTGAAGGAATATGATTGCTCAGGATGGTTGATCAGTATATCACAGATATATTTTATCCCGTACGACAGAGAGCTCCCCATGAGAGAGTCCACGCACTTACGCTTCGTATGTACTGACTCTTCTTTCCCAGCCAGGGATGCTCTGGCTTGTGCATCATTCTCATGATGCTCTGAGCAGTGCATAAGACTCGATCGAACATGTCGAGGTCCGTGGCGTGTATCGTGGAGGTTCTGCAACGGCGGTCCATAGCTTTGATGGAGCGACCTGGTGCTCAATAATGACCATCCTGTCCCCCCTGCGCCATCTCGTGCCTCTCGTTTAGATGGCTGTTCTGGGTTGAGGTCGCTCATGAAGACGGGCTGAGAATTGGTTCCGCGGAAGCAAATGTCGTACCGACATTTGCAAATTTGAAGATTTACAAGTGACACACTGGAACAGGCGCCAACCAAGCAATCGGCACTAAAGCCCTGTCGGGATTGCGAATTCGGAGTTCTAGAACTTAGACTATGGCCGCCCCAAATTATTTTCGTTCGATCGAATCTTCGCTGCTATTTAAACCCCCAAATGTCTTCACGCAAAGTAAACGACATCCCTTTTCCTTCATTTTCTCTTGTAATAAACCAGTATTCGATGAGCAACATGAGATTGCCAAGCTACAGGGCCTCTTATTTGCTTCGTTTCCACCCTTACCCGAGAGTCAAACTCAGCCAACGTGAGATTATGGTGAGCGATGCCACGAACATCATTTCAGCGCTATTTTTGACCCTTGTCGCGAAGCATGCTGTTAATGATAGTCCCAGCAGCCTGTATGATATTGTTGAAAACGATGACAGTGTTGGACCGGTGATCCTCAACTTTGTACGCGTTTTCTTTTTGTCATTTTGTAGTCTTATTCAATTCTCCAATGCAGCCCGACCTCCCTGAAGAGCAGCATCCCAATGCTGAGAACCCGCAGGAAGCTATTGAAGTTGCCGAGACTGACGCCCAACCTCACGTCAAGCATCTAAACTTCGCAACTCTAATCATCGTACGTTTTCTACCCTTGCTTACAGTAGCTGCTCGCCCTCACATGTTACGTCGGCAGGACCTTGCGATACTAGTTGCGAGGAAGCTATCTTGGAAAACCAAGTAGTTTGTCATAGCTGCACAATCTACTAATCCTGCAGCTCGTGCTGTTGGCTCTCAACCTGTATCTTGCTTTCGCTATCGTTGTACCATATGGTCGGTCCTTAAACCACAGGAATCTACTTTACATCAATCAATCATTCCATTGCTCTCCATGCTATCGTCTAACATACACGAATATCTGTGCTATATCTACCATCAATACATCTAGTGGAAATTTCATTCTGGCTTTGCAATTTGTATCAATGAAATAGACCAAAAGACTTAGGCTTTCCAAACCATGACTGCAACACTTCCAGAGATGCACAATGATGCGGGAAAACAGAGGATACCGTGTATGAAGATCCATACAAAGGCCTCTAATAGTGTAGCGCTGAGATTCGGATTCCCGCGTGTCTGTCAGAGTGACACTACGTGACTAGCTTGTGGTTGCATCTGTCCATCTCAGCACGGAAGGTTCCGTCTGTCATGCATGACCAAGCCCGCTACAACTCATGTCAGTGCTCAATAGTTCTTGGTGGATTCGTTCATAGACCTCATTGTGAACGCAATGAGTCACTTGCTGGACCTACATACTCCCTGCGAGTATGTGCCTGGTGTGCTTTCCCATGGTCCGGTCTGCTATTTGGATTGATCCACGCTGTCATGCAGAGCGATGGGCCCGTAACACTGCGGCTTGATTATGGTTTCTTGTGCGTACAAAAAGGATGTTACGGGCGAGTGCAAGTAGAATATATGCTATGATATTTCGGTGCAAGAAAGCGACATCGACTAAGCACGAGACATGCAGAACTCGTGACCTGCTGATAACATTAGCGCCCAAACCCATTATTAGTGCTTGAGACGAAAACCCACTGATACTATGAGAACTGTGTTGCAATTTGATCCCCTATTTCCTGTAGTTCCTTACTTCCCTCGAAAAATAATCTCGTGCTCTCCATAACCTCTTTCGTAATGAATTCTGCATCCTGATTTGCCATGCTCGTAGCGCTGATGAAATCAGAATGTCGCAGATTGTCAATGGCCTTCCTCGTTCTGTCCCCCCGGATGTAGTCATCCCGTAAGCACTTGATCAAACGAGCTTGTGCTGATGGGGTGTACAAAGTTGAGCTCCGTACGAGGATTTCGAGGCGGCGGCATACAGCCGTCCGAGTATCGAGAGCATCCTGAAATTTCTCAATGAGAAGGATATTAGAGTAGTTGGGAGCGGGAGCAGTCTGAGTGGTCGAAGTAGATGCAGCAGATGAGGACTCAGTAGAAGGAACTTCTTCGGGGACAACCTCCACTGATTCCTTCATGAGACGGGCGAAGTGATCCTTTGGGGAGAGACGCCGCTTCTTGTGCTTGCGCGTCGGTTGACCTTTGGGTGTTTTCGTTGATTTGGCCATCTTGTATCGTGCCCGTCCCTGCAGTATATTTAGATAATGCAACGCGTAGAGTGGGGAACCTTAATACTTGGTATAGGAAGCAAGCGAGGTGGTCACTTGAGATACGAAGTTAGTAATTCAGGTATTCATTTGGAAAGAACTTCGTAGACTCACAGCCGAATAAATACGAATGAGAAAAGCAAACAGACGGCTAGAGGACCAGAGGCTATGAGCAGGTATGAGCGCGTGTCTGGCTATAAGAAATGACCGGGTCACTTGGTTTGAACAAGACGTACTAGTACAGGTGCACTGGCAGGTTCCTTCCTAATCTCTTGCGAAAATGAACCACTTATATAACGTTCAGACTTCCCGCAGATGATTCGGGAGACTTGTTGGTACAATACCGGTGCTGGTAGTGATCTTATAGCATGGGGGAGGTGGTGGTGGCCCGGCAGAGATTAATGATTTCACCGTAAATATTCTCAGTCACGTGAGCGATATCACAAAGAATAATCAATGGTTAATCCTTAATCAATTATGATACGTGTGAGTCGCGACCACCAACAATCGAGCACGACAATAACGATGCGAAAAAAATGTACAAGCATATAAGATTATTTTATTGCGCGTTTGTTTTTCGTGAACAATCAAGAGTCAAGACGCATTGACCATGCACGTGTTATGGAGTAGTTCCCAAATATGGATGCCCCGAAAAGCAAACGCAGGATCCAGGCCGTGACATCAATTATCGCACCAGGCTCCTAGTAGGTCATCACAACTGTACTGGAGTACGTAGCGCTAATATCTGGTCTGTGCGTTTTGACCTTCTAGTCCATGACAGTGAGTTGTTCACTCTAAGGTACTTCCGAGTCACTAATTTGCTCTGCAGAGCACTGGCTGGTGTCTTCCCAACTAACGTGTAGAAATACACAAGTACTGTCTCGGTGCTACGAAAGATGCAGTTTCAGCGTATACATGCACTTCCCTCGCAAATGCGGTTGCTAGTGCTATCTCACCGCCTCAGTATCGTCCGTGGGTCTGGGTCGAGCCTCCGTCATACCTTCCAGCGATCACAACATACTGCTCTATCTCATTTACAGTCATTCAAAAGTCCTAATAAATCACGCACACGAGTATGGCGCAATATTGCATGGCTTATTCCCGTGACTGGCGGTGTCGCACTTTACCTCTATCCTAGCCAACAGCTCCACCTACCTTCCATCTTTTCCTCGCCGACACTTATTCCGTGTACAGAACACGACCTAGACGTACAAGCAAGAGACACTATAATAGGATCACCGGCAGAACCACATATGTCTATTCCCTCGCGGATATTATCTCTGTTGCAGGAACACTTGTGGGAACCTGTGTTGACGGCACGAAGATTCATTCACTTGTTCTACCTCTTCATACCTGTCATCATTACCATGCCTATGCTGCTTATCGGGAAGCCTGAACGTAGATATAAGGGTGACAAGTGGGGAGCCGTTTGGTGGTACGAATTTCTTGTCAGGAGGATGCAGACCGCCGGGCCAACATTCATCAAGGTATCTATCCCATAGTGTCCTTTCCATCTCACCGTCTGACCATTCAGCTTGGGCAATGGGCAGCATCGCGGGCTGATCTCTTCCCGTCATTACTTTGCGAGAAAATGGGGTCCTTGCACTCTCGCGGAAAGCCTCATTCACTCATGCACACTAAGCAAGTCATCGAAAGGGCGTTTGAACGGCCATTCGACGAAGTGTTCGAAGTTTTTGATGAGAATCCGATAGGAGTCGGTGCCATTGCACAAGTGGGTTTACTGCTGGCTTCTGTGGGCTACTAATGGACTCATTATCTGTAGGTCTACCGGGCAAATCTCAAGCATGATCTTATACCTCCCTCTTACCTTGGTCCAAAACGGCAAACCAAATCACCCACAGGGTCGCTGGCTCCCGTTATCCTGCAAGACCCTCCGCCTTCAGTACCTACTGCATCTGTCGCCATCAAAGTCTTGCATCCTCGCGTCGCCAAGGATATTGCGCATGACCTATCTATAATGTCGTTCTTTGCGCGGGTCATTAACCTTTTCCCTGGTATGCAATGGTTATCACTCCCAGAGGAGGTCAGCGTCTTTGGTGAAATGATGCGTCGACAACTCGACCTCCGAATCGAAGCAGAGAATCTGCTGACATTTGAAAATAACTTTGCTTCGAGAAATGTGCCAGTATCATTTCCACGTCCTTTGAAGACGTTTTCGACTGCCGACTTACTTGTCGAGGAATACGAGAACGCCTTGCGCATGGAGTACTTCCTGAAAAACGGAGGTGGGCCATTTGATGATCAATTGGCAACCGTCGGATTGGATGCTTTCTTGGTTCGTGAATTATCTCTAGTAGTTTTCTTTTACTTATTTTCCTGCAGAAAATGCTACTACTTGACAACTTCGTGCACTCTGATCTTCATCCGGGCAACATCATGATCAAATTCACAAAGCCTCCGACCACCCGTGACCTCCTCATGAACATGTACTCCTCATTCTTCCCACAAAAGGGCTCTGCCGAAGTTCTTGTCGAGCACCCGCTGGAATCTGATGAAATGGTAGTCCGACTACGCTCACTCAGACATTCCCGTGAGGAATGGCAAAAGGAACTTAGGGTTTCATCGGAGCAGGGCTACATTCCTGAAATCGTTTTCATCGATGCTGGTCTCGTGACAACGCTTAACGCGGCAAACCGCAAGAACTTCCTCGATCTTTTCAGAGCTATTGCTGAGTTCGATGGCTACCGAGCCGGTCAATTGATGGTCGAACGTTGTCGGACTCCCGAACTTGCGATCGACACCGAAACGTTTGCACTGAAGATGCAACACATTGTTCTGAGCATCAAGCGGAAAACGTTCTCACTGGGGCAAATCAAGATTTCAGATATTTTGACTGATGTTCTAACGGCTGTGCGGCAGCACCATGTCAAGATGGAGGCGGATTTTATCAATACGGTTATCTCCATATTACTCCTTGAAGGCATTGGGAGACATTTGGATCCAAGTCTAGATCTTTTCAAGAGCGCATTGCCGATTCTACGACAGCTTGGACGGCAGATGACAACTCAAGAGTCGATGACACAGTTGCCCTCAGGAAACTTTGGAGCGTTATTGAAGGTAGATGCTGGGTGTTTTCTTTTCTACCAATACTTATCCTCGAGACAGGTCTGGATGTGGGTAGAAGCTCGTCAAATGGCCTCAACAGCATTCATTGATGTTGACGAATTAGTCAAATATGATTTGTTGGTGTCCTGACCCTTGGTTGCATGGTTCAAGTGCTGACAACGATTGTAGGCTTGTCCCGACTGTATAACGCGGAGTCCTTATAGATATCTTGACGGCGTCCTTTAGCATTACAGGAGTAATAGGAATATAGACACAACTGACACACGCATACATACACACATACACTCTAGAGTACAGGATCATCATCTTACATCACCACTCCAAATATTGCGATCGCCGAAGTAGCCCGTTTCCGTAACCATCCAGTCTCTAATCAGATATCTCTTCTTTGCCCCGCAATGGCAGCCCTGCTACAAACGGATTTGCCAGACTTTCAACTTCTTTCCAGAGGAAAGGTCCGCGACGTTTACGCAACTTCGTCGCCCGATCATCTATTGTTTGTCGCAACCGACCGGATATCAGTGTACGATGTCGTCCTCAACAGCGTCCGTAGATATCTCTGAACTCTTTTCTGCCTGATTTAATGTGCCCTGCTTTTAGGGTATCCCAGACAAAGGCAAACTCCTCACAAGCATCTCGCTGTTCTGGTTCGAGAAGCTGAAGCACATCATTCCTAACCATCTTGTTACCGTCAATATCGATGAGATGCCAGATGAAGTCCGGGAATACCGCGAGCAACTCGAGGACCGCACTATGCTTGTAAGAAAGGCCAAAATAGTGCCCATAGAAGCGATCGTCAGAGGATACATCACTGGTGAGCTGATTCGTTGTCCGGATAATCTCCAGGGGCCGCCGGGATGACTTTGTGAATAGGATCAGCCTGGGCAGAGTACCAAAAGTCACAGACTGTCTGCGGTATCCCAATACCGGAGAGGATGGAAGAATCTCAAAAGTTCCCGACACCGATCTTCACTCCGTCTACCAAGGCTGAGCAAGGCGCCCATGACGAGAACATCTCGCCTGAAAAAGGTGCTATCGTTGGAATAGCTTGTCTCAAGTCGCTTATACCCACTTTATCAGCCGCTCAACTCATCGGTCAAGATCTATTCGACCGTATTCAGGCTGCATCTTTGCAACTATATATGGCTGCTGCTGAATATGCAGAATCATGTGGACTTATTCTCGCAGACACGAAGTTTGAATTCGGTCTTGTTCCCTCTGCTTCTGCTGGGCAAGACGAGCTCATCCTTGTGGACGAGGTCCTTACGCCTGATTCGTCGCGATACTGGCCCCGAGACCAGTATGAACCTGGCAAAGGACAGCCAAGCTTTGACAAGCAGTATGTCAGAAATGCGTTGACTGCCGCTGGGTACAGAAAAGGATTAGAGAGTGGACCAAACGCAAACGGCAAGGGATGGGGAATCGATGATATTGTCATCGAGGGGACTAGAAAACGATATAAAGAAGCTGAACAAATGCTGAAGTCGCTACACTCATAGAAAAAATTGTCTAGATTATTCGTTATTCGTATCTCGGTAATGGAGAGCGAATGTAAAAGGAAAGAAATTCCTGATCATATCTATCTAGATGCTAGCATCTCCTTGGATTAGCAACGTTAAAAATGCTTGGTCGATGTTTTAATGTTATAACCTTGATACGAAAGTGCATGCCGCCATCAGAGTCCAACGAAGATTTCTATGAGCTGGAGAGGCAACGTGAAGTCTATCTTCCCATCCCTGATGGTTCACGATCAAACCAACGGCTCCAAACAAAGTGTTTTCCTCGATGAATACCTGCACAAATTAGTTACCGACGCCAAGGGATGATAAAAATCGACTTTTGTAGTCTGCCATTACAACCTTGTTTTGTTGTCACATCGGAGCCCCTGACACCGTTCGTTCTGCGTCCTAATGCCGCAGCTGTGGATACAGATAAGACAAGACCCATATTGAAGTCTCTAGTTCTCCGACTAACTCTGCCCAGAAATATGACCATGAGGTCTTGAGGACCCGCCGCGAGCGTGAACCTTAATGAAATCGATGCGCGCGTTAGATAACCTTCTTGCAATACTCTATTTGATCGTCTTTCCACAACTTCTGCATGATTGTGAGTCTACGCGAAATATGAAGAGCAAAATCCACACCTTGGGCTATAGAGTTTACGGGAAACTGCGGCCACCTTCATATGCTTACCCCAGGTGACGAGCGAGATCTCTGTTAACATTGTAAGCGACAATGTCACAACGTTGAGATAAGGGCATACTCCCTGATGCACAATATGCCGATCAGCGGTGGTCTGGCCAACTAGAGTTGCTGAAATTAGCGACTGATGACGTCAAAACTGCAAAGTCCGAACGAAGGGCGGTTAATTCAGATGTACAACGTCCAACAAGCATCCTGTTCTCGAAGGCCTGAAAAAGTGCAGATGATTCTTTTGAACGCACGATGCGTGAAGAGGCTTTGTCAGTTAATCGAGAACTTAAGTACTCTCGGAGATTACCCTATCCTCGAAAGCCTACTCCAGCTCTGGGAATTCAAGGAAAGCATCCGTCGAAAAGTAGCTTTGGCCAAGTTTTTCTTTGCCGCGAGAACCTGTCCGATGAACGGCAGGGCGGCCGCCTGGTAAAATACTGGCAGAGGACTTTGAAGCGAAACCACTGCGGACATCAGCCTACTTTGAGCTTCCCTGGGAACTCAATAAGTTAAACCGTATTAGGACAAGCGAGTACTAATCAACCACTGCTCCTGATTCGGAAGTATCCAGAATGAGGGTACCGCGCGGCCCGCGCCACCGCCTACATGCCAGACCCGGAGTCTAAATCGTCATGTCACTTGGTTCGATACCACATAATGGACAAGATATTTCTCCCTCACCTTCAAAAAATAGAACCACATGCACAGTTCGTATTCAGTTTTCCGATCATAGAATCTTCACTGGGGAGGAAGTACTATGCCAAAGTAGGTTCGCTCAGCGAACGAGAACAATTCGTGGGAGAGGCAGAGTCACTCAGAGCCATATACAATGCTGCACCGGGACTAGCCCCTCAGGTGTTCGCAGCGGTTGGTCCAGATAATCCTGCCACGACATCTGAACGGCCTTATTTCCTGTCGGAATATCGGAATATAACAAGTCTTACTTCAAACCACAAAGCAGGGGGGGAACTTGGGATGAGGCTAGCCACGGAGCTGCACGTGTACAAGAGCACCATGGGCTTTGGATTTCATGTGCCTACCTTCTGCGGTGCAACTCGGCAAGATAACGGCTGGTATCAAACCTGGGAAGAATGCTACAGCGCCATGATTGGAAGTCTGCTTGCCATGCTTCGCGATAAAGGCAGCTTTTCCGAACTTTGCACCAAGGGGGAACAAGTAAGGTCCAAGTAAGTGCATGGTAGCTTATTACGAGGGTCAGCTACTGCAGCAGTGTAGAGTGATACCATTTTTGCTTCGCCCCCTTGAGATTCAGCCCGTGCTATTGCATGGTGACCTCTGGGTAAGTGTCTTGTTGAGCATTCACAACTGTATGCTAATGATAGCAGAGTGGTAATGCAGGTATAGATAGTTCATCGGATAAACCTGTTATCTTCGATCCGTCATCTTACTTCGGTCACAATGAAGCTGAGTGAGTACAACAGCAAAGGCGGAGTAATCGCAGCTTCATCTTAACATATGCGGGGTTTAGTCTAGCCATCGCTCGTATCTTCGGTGGATTTCCCCATAGCTTTTTTGAAAAGTACCATGAACACCTGCCCAAGACCGAACCTGTGGATCAGTACGAGCTCAGAGCAGACCTTTACGAGCTCTACCATTATCTAAATCACACAGTTCTGTTCGGAGTACGTTCGACTTTTCTTCCTTGTTCGATTAAAACATGAGTCTAACCTTCACAAAGAGTTCATATGCAGGAAGCGCTCTGCGGAAGATGACTATACTCCTTAGGGCTTGCCCGTAGATAGACACGCCAGCCATGACGCAACAATGACGGCATGTAGCAGGCCAACCAGTATAGTACTTGGTCAATGTATCAATATTGTATATTTTCTCGACTAGCTCGAGGGTTACAATTTATAGCGTTGTCTGCAGAGTTCTTTGATTTAAGCGTGGCTCATGCTGCCTTGCTTCCAAGCACACCTCGTATGTACTAGAGCCTAGGAGTTTAACTTCCGTTTTCGTCAGGGTCATAGCGGTGGCTGTACATCGATTATATGAAGTGTTTGGTTCCGGGTTCTTATTTCTAACCCATACAATTCTAGAACTATTTCGTATTGCAACCATGGCCCCTCGTCGACAAGCTGCACCAGAAGGAAGCATGCCTCCTCCCAGTCGACCATCAAGTCCAAGTGGTGAAGACATCGAAGAGGCAAGGTTGTTTGCAGTCATCGATATCCGTTGTAAGGCTCACGCGTACTGACGCGACGCGACGCGTTATAGACGCCATTCTTTGATAATGTGGATGAATTGCAGCAATATGTTGGTATCCTTCATGCGTATATATGCTCGCGACTCAGAGCGTATTGTAGGGCATAAACGTGCAAGATATCTTAAAACTCAAGGTATTCACCCAGTATATGCGCAATATCTACCAGGCTTATGGATGCTCTAGAGTGCCTCAATCAATACTGTGTCTGGTGTCGTGATGACTACGCGTCGTCAATTACTGAAAATAAAGGTTCGCACAATTCTACTACAATTTTTTTCCAGGAGGACTCTGACGAATTCGATATTTTCTTTGCAGGGTATGTCGGAAGCGAAGGTTGAGAAGATCAAGGTGCGCATATATTCATATTGGTAACCGTGTTTTCAATCCGAGATGTTACACAGGAGGCAGCACAGAAAATCGCGGTAACCATCAGCCATATATTGTCTTCTAATATTCACAATCCTTTACAAGGGATCTTCCTTTGCAACTGGTATTGAAGTCCAGGATCGAAGAAAGCGCGTGCTTGTCATCAGTACTGGAAGCAAGTCGGTAGACACAATCTTAGGTGGTGGGTATATCGATATATCACAACAGGGATCGTACTTACTAGCTTCCAGGTGGGCTGATGTCACAGTCAATTTCCGAAGGTAGTTAGCCCTGCCGTTTTTTTTTGCATTTTTAGCATTCAGCTGTTTTAAACCAGTCTACGGTGAATTTCGCACTGGAAAGACACAGCTGGCCCACACAATGTCTGTTGTCACTCAACTCCCTCCGGAGATGGGTGGGGCCTCTGGCAAAGTGAGCAAATCTTTCTTCTGCAATCAAGGCAAATCCAATGTGAAAACCAGGTCGCATATATCGATACCGAAGGTGCAGTGGTTATTATTTTACGAGCGACAACCTATCACCGACGCTCTTCTTGTATTAGGGACATTCAGACCAGATCGCATCAGGTCCATCGCTGACCGGTTTGGTGTGGACGGGAATATGGCGCTCGAAAATATCCTTTATGGTATATTTCTGGCTGTATACCTCACGTCATTGAGACATAGCATTTGCAGCGCGCGCCTTCAACAGTGAACACCAGGTTGCTCCCCTCCTCTACTGCTATACAGCCATCGCTGATATGTTGCAGATGGAACTCATCAGCGAATGCTCCATGCGCTTTGCGGAGGACAAAGACTTCCGTCTTCTAGTAGGTCTTGCAATGTCCGTGGCTAGGAAATTGCTTACTCAGTAATCAGATCGTAGACTCCATTATGGCTCTCTTTCGCGTCGATTTTTCTGGTCGTGGCGAACTCAGCGAAAGGCAACAGAAGGTAGGTCTTCGAGCCTGCGTTGCGGGATGCTAAGACTCACCATAATGTAGCTAGCACAAGTGGGCACAACGATTCAAATGACTCCCTAGTCGTGCTTACTAACGCGATCCATTCGCAATAGGTGATGTCGAAGCTCACTAAGCTTTCAGAAGAATTCAACGTTTGATGTTCGTTGGCGAACTATTTGACAAGACTGACATCTCTCGCAGATTGCTGTTTTGATAACCAACCAAGTACAATGTATGTATTTAACTGGTCTTATTTTGAAATCGCAGCTCATCCTCTTCGCGTAGCCGACCCAGGAGCAACAATGACGTTCGTGGCTGGCGGGGCTCTCAAACCCATCGGCGGACATATTTTATCGCACTCCTCAGCTACTCGGATGTTCCTTCGCAAAGGCAAGTCACTAGCGCCTACCGTGGGTTGCGGTGTCATCCAAAAGGAGTCCAAAGCCAAATGCAAACCGTACTAATATTATCCACCTAACTTTCAGGACGGGCTGAAGAACGTGTCGCGAAGCTGGTGGACAGCCCCGACCGCCCTGAGAGCGAGGCCTCTTACAAGCTGGACGAAGGTGGATGGACCGATATATGATCTTCTTCGTGCTTACTAGCTGCTCTTGGACTTTTGCTCGACTCTGGACCTATTAGTCGATCCTTAAGATGGATCATGTTTTAATCTGCCTTGTACTTCTAGAGTGTTGCACATGTGTTGCTGCCGACGTCTCGAAATAAATTAAATTTAGACCAAGGGCCGGGATACTGCGACTTGAGCTTAACCGCGATTAGAAACCGCAGCTTGAAGTCAGCCCAAACTTAGCCGACATCTAGCTCAAACTCTTTGAAACGTGTTGATCCCAGCTTACAAGTGCTTAGGGCACGAAACCTTATTCATCGTCATTCATGGTTCGTGAGCACTTCGAGTATCAAATGCTAGTCAAATACCGGTCAACGTTGACTAGGTCTTCCGGGCCTTGTAGTGACCGCGTGATTCTACCCATGTCAATTCCATTCTCTGCGGCTGTTGCACATGGTCCAGATACGCACGTTCTTGTCGATGCTTCGGTTTTGGTGAGCAGGCAAGGGTCACAGGTATAAAGTCGGCAAACATAATCCCCCGGTATGAAGTACCTCTGTCAAACGCATTCTCTGTGATATGTTCAAGCTGTCCCTTATCAGTCTCGCAACCTCGGTCTCCATAGTTCACGCTGAATTCCTTCACCTGTCGCGGTCGACTCAGAATTTGTTCACCACGTACCCGAACATCGATGCATGTGTCAGCCTCCCAGTGCAATATTCTTGCGAGAACACAACGGTCTTAGCGAATTCATGCTGCAATGTCGTACAAGGCGGACTCGTGCTACAGACACAGTATTGGGATACCTATACTGGTCTCGAGTCCCAGGGACAGCTGCTTCCACAAGGCAGCTGGGGCATTCACGGCCTATGGCCGGATAACTGCGACGGGTAGGACAAATTTCTTCCAAAATGTCATGATTCAGTCATGATTACTGATCCCCTGCATAGCTCGTACGACCAGTACTGTGAAAACCCTCAACTCCACTACTCCGTCGAGCTGCGCAGAGACGGGAATCTGGTATTATGAGCGGACTCCGACATCCGAGCGGGTTGTCTCTTACTAGGTCAAATGCAAGACGCACATTGTCAGCTTGTTCTACAAGGTCACGTATGCCTTTACATAAAGTCGCTGTCTACCGTTTTCTGCTCTACAACCTTCATGTGCCAAGATCGGAAGGTACAAAAACGTTGCGTGGTCTCTTGCAGCGACTGCTTCAACGTCTTGAGGAGTCGTCATCCATCATAGCTGTCGCACGGCGAATACGCCAGCCGCATGCTCACTGTGCCTGACAGCATTTTGTGAGTGCCCGTCAAACAAATGACATGAAAGGCTGGGCATCGGAAAATATGTCTTGCTTACTGTACCTTCTTGCGAATCCCGGAATCGAAGATCACAAAGTCACCTTATGCACATAAATCTCACAGCGGAGAAGAATAACTTACCATAGAGCGGTCACTTCGGTCAATAGTCGGTTATGGCCAGTCAACATGTCACCAGTCTAATTCTCGACTATCAAGAGCTCAAACGGGGTGGAAATCGAGAAATGCGCCATCAGGTAGTGATGTGTTTAGGCTAAAAGAAAGTTATAAGTGAGTGAGAACTGTTTGAATATCTCGAAAGTTACACTGGGGAAAAAAAGAGATTATACGAAATGAGAATGTGGCGCGAACCTCGAGATTCGCACCAAATGTTTGTGACATTCTAATCAGGTTACAAAGAAATGAAAATGCGAAGGGAATGATCACATTATTACTATATTTTTATCGTATTCTGATCATGTTCTGGAGGACATTCTCATTTGTTATAATCTCAAAGGTCCGTTTGACCCATATATCACAATAACCAACATAATTCTGCTATTGAGCATCACATTGTCATTTTTGCCCTTATATCGGAAAGGAGTTTGTCTGATTTCACCATAAGGCGCTAAGATCGGAGAAAGGTCTCATAAAAGTCGAAGGGAAGGTGGAACAAAAGCTGCTGGTTGATCTACATGAATCAAAATTGTCATATCGGCGGTAAGATTTGCAATATCCAAGCCAAGACGAGTTTTGCAGGGAATTTGGCTGCGTTAATCTCAGCGAGGGACTATAGCTATTAAATCTTGATACACCTACCTGAAAAGCTAACCTTCCGTCACTTTCATGTCAAATTCACATGTAAACGTGAAAGCCCTGTATCTTTCTGACTACAAGAATATATTCATCCGAGCACACGTGCTTCGACTTTGTACGCCGCATTTGTTATTCCGATGTTTGTCTGCTATATGTATCAATTTGGAACGCGTGCGAATAAGCTATGTAGCAGCTGGGTTATGGCCAACAAGCAGCCAACAATCAATTTTTATCATGCTTCGAGTCTCAAGGTCAGTGGTTCTGCCAAACCGGTTCTGCCTGGCAGATGGCAGAATCCGGCAGAATGTCAAACTATGATCACACCTCACACGGACAGTGGGATGTGGACGTGCTGATGTCTTCTAATGGTGTTTTCTAGTGACATAGCCTTGTAGCACTTTGAAAATTTTGCCAGGGGGCAGAAGTGGTGGTTCTGCCGGCACAATCATTGCTCGCAAATAATTCTGCCCCCAGCACTAGCGCCGCCGCGCGCTAGGGTGTTCCGCCACGTAGGTCCCCTGTTGAAGGGTCAAGCCTAGTCAGACCAGGTCAGACCTTGCACATCAAATGGCAGGTGGGAGTCTTAGATATAAATGTCGGCAACATGATCCCCCAGCAAAGAAATACCTCTCAAGTCGAACACTGACTCTGATAGTATGTTGTCCCTTGTCATTCTCGGAGTCCTGGTCTCCGTGGTTCATGCCAAATTCTACCCCACGTACCCGAACATTGAGACATGTGTCGGCCTCCCAGTACAGTACTCCTGCGAGAATACAACGATTGTGACGGATTCATGTTGCAATGTCGTACGAGGCGGGCTTGTGTTACAGGCGCAGTACTGGAATACATATACTGGTCTCGAGCTCCAGGCCCAACTGTTTCCAAAAAACAGCTGGAGTATTCATGGCATAGTGCCACTCAACTGCGATGGGTAAGTTGTCTTGCTTTGTAAATCTCATGAATGCTGAGGGACGCCTTTCGCCCTGCCTAGTACTTCGATAGGCCAGTACTGCGATCCTGGCAGGCAGTATGACCCCAAGCCATTGCCATCAACCTTGCCCAATGGAACGGTCATTAATCCTTATAAAGGACCGAGTGTTAGAACATTTATCCAGGAATTCGGTCGCTCCGACTTATTGGATTACAGTATGTGAACAAAACTACATGTCAATATAGATGATCAAACATGCGTTGCAGTGGATACCTTCTGGATCAACCAGGGCGCACCTAATGAGGATTTATGGGCTCACGAGGTGGGCAGATATTACTTACATGGAGGGCCTGTTGACAGAGCTGCTACCAGTACTCAATACATGCTACTTGCACATCCGCATTCGACGTTGCTTGCTACTACCCCGGATACAAGAAACACCAGGAAGTCGTCAACTTCTTCGAGACTGCCGTAAAGGTTTACCAGATGTATCCTACTTACGATATACTCGCTGCGTAAGGTCAAGTTTATTCGCCGTAGTCCTTGACTGCTGACAATTTTCGGCAATAATAGTTCTGGAATTGTTCCCTCCAATAAAACGACATACACCCGCGCACAGATCACAAATGCCATTTACTCTCAAACTGGTGCCGACCCTTGGCTTGGCTGTTTGGATAATGGCACTGTTTGGAAGGAGATCCGGTACTTCCACCATGTTCTGGGCACAGTATGTCGCGTTAATAACGAATGTACTGTGGTTTACTCAATCCTGTCCTAGGAGCAATTCGGCCACTTCAAGCCTCTCGACTCCATTATCTCTTCAACCTGCGCAGAAACTGGAATATGGTATTATGAACGAACTCCGACGTCCGAGAAGGCTGTCTCAGGTTAAGCCAAATACGGGGGTTCAATGTCACCTTTTTTTTTCCTTTTTTTAAATTCCAGTTTCTGTCCTATGGTCGCGCGTACCTTTATATATGACAGTTACTGTCTACTATCTTCTAGACTACAAGTTTATGATCTACCATAGAGTACTCTGCATCAAATTCAGATCTGAGATCAGAGTCACCATTATGTTTCACCATCTAAACTACGAAAGCGTGAACCAATTAAGGACGCGTCAGTCACGTGACGAACGCGACGCGACACGTCCACAAATATATGACAACAAATATTTACCTAAAATGGTGTTCACCCTGAATTTCAGTTGAGTTGTCGGCAGCGTGCCCACTGTCAGCACATCCGGAATTCCCAATCAATCCTGACCCTCCAACCACCATCATAGACAAACACCTCATGACAATTTCACTACCGCTTGATGCGGTGTCTGGAGAGTCCAGCACGCGGAGGGCACTCTCTGACATCTCTTTGGCAGTAGCCAAATCGAAAAAGATAATTGTTGTCACCGGAGCAGGCATTTCATGTTCATGCGGCATTCCGGTGAGTCCTCTGCACGTGTACCAGATGCGATGGCTTGATAATTCTCTTGATATAGGATTTCCGGTCTTCAGATGGTCTTTATTCGCTCGTGAAGCAGCGATACCCAGACATCGTCCTGAAAGGGCGTGATCTCTTTGACGCGTCTCTGTTCCGTAACTCTGCATCCACCTCCGTCTTTTATACTTTTATATCACAGCTCAAGCGCTCTATCGATGCTGCCACTCCTGCTCCCACACATCGATTCATTCAAACTCTAGACGCAAAGCATAAACTAGTACGCTCGTATACCCAGAATATCGATGGTCTAGAAGAGCGAATAGGGCTCCGTGGGAGTTCAAGTCAGCAGGCAAAGACAAATGGGAAGAAGAAGTCAAAGTTAAAAGTTAAAGAAGTCAGGAACGTCCAGCTGCACGGCGACATCCACCGCGTGCGGTGCACTCTCTGCTCTGCCGAGATGCCTTGTACCGAAGAGCATTTGCATTCGTTCGAGAATGGCAAAGCCCCAAACTGCCCAGAATGTACCTCACGATGTAAGTCAGCTGTCAGGTTCGTTTCTTGCGCTTAGCTAAGTCTCTGGTAGCGGAAGCACGAGTTGCTCGTTCTGCACGTGCCCTCAAAATCGGGACTCTTCGTCCAGCCATCGTACTCTATGACGAACCACACCCTCTTGGGGACGACATAGGCACGATACAAACGATTGACATTGCTCGCAAACCCGATATGCTCATTATCATGGGTACTTCACTCAAGGTCCATGGTCTCAAAAAGCTCGTTAAAGACTTCGCGAAAGTCGTACACGCCACTGGGACTGGAACTACACCTAGCGGTACTCCCAAAGTGCAAAAGAGTTGGCAGGGAAAAGTGATTTTCGTGAACAAGACACCACCTGGCAGCGAGTGGTCCGACATTATCGATTGCCATGTCGCAGGGGAGACTGATGCATGGGTCGACAAAGTCTTGGAAGACTGGAAGAAGATGCGACCATCAGACTGGGAGATACAACAGACCCTTGATCACACTGACGAATCCAATGGGTTCAAAGCCGTCAAAGAGATCACTACCAAGACGAAGGGCAAGGGTAAGAGTGGATTTGGCTTCTTTCAGTGCGTTACTCATTTTAGTTCGATAGCTGCGCCAAAGTGGAATATGAATGTCGAGAATGTGCCACCGGAGGATCCATTTTTCTCACAACCAGCTTCACCATCAAAAAAACCCGTCAGTGTTCCGTCATCGCCAACTAAGCGGCGACAGTCTGTGTCACACTACTCAGACTCGGAGTCAAGTCCACGCAAGAGACGCGATATCGCCAGAATCGCGGATGGTATGGATAGGTTGGACATGTCAGACAGGTGCAAACTGTTTGCAGATGCGACAAATGCGCCCAAGAATGCGGGAGGAGATGATTTTCTGATGGGCGAACTACAACCTTCGAAAGCAAAGGTACGCCGAGCAAGCGCATCGGTCGTCTCCAGGGAGTGCAAACCTCGGCCTCGAAATGTTGCCAAATCAAAGGTTGAGATGTGGGTGGAAATCCCGAAGAAGCTTAGTATTCATAGTCGGCTGTAAATAATTGTATGGTATACCTTTGTTATATTCTTCCAGTAGTATTTGCATGTTGCAGGATAGTTCAAGTCTTTGAGGTAGACAATAGTAAAACAGGACAAGATAACAAGCGAAATGAGACCCGGTAAAACTGCGGGAAGAGGAATCAAGACAATGTGTCATTCGCTAATTAGCTCGGAGACACTCCAATCTTCAAAACTTCCGTCGGGTAGATAGCGCCGGATGATAAGGGGAATTTTTCGTTGCGAGAGCTCCTTAATTGCGATTTGCAGAGCATCTGTCTCGCCATCCAAAGGAACGAGCACCGGGGCGTTCATGCTTGCGATGACACGCTTGCATAAGATCAAATGCAAGTCAGATGCAAAAGACCTCTCACCTGATTTGAAGCGCTCTTGTCCCCAATATTCGTGCTCGTTCGTACTTTGTCAAGTATGGTGTTGTTACTCTGACTTTGTTTGCCTGTCGCTCGCCTTGAATACCTGCGTTTGCTGGCGCTGGCTGAGGTTGTGGGCCCTCCTCTCCATTCACCATCTCCTGATCATGGTCTGCCCCATTTATTCCATTCACGTGCGAGACTTCACCAGTTGCCTCCTCCCCTTCTACCTGTTCCTCTTGTTCTTGTGCGAGGAGATCATAGCCTTCATCCTAAACAACATGCGGTGTCAAAATTTTGATCACAGTATGATTCGCCAGGTACGCACGAAGGCACCATCGGTGAAACTAGAATAATATGTCATAAGTTCCTTGTCGATGACTTTGGGATCAAAACATACCTGGGACCGTCGTAGTCGTAGTCATCGCCGCCGCCACCGCCGCCATAGCCGTCGTCGGACATGGTGAACTGGGTCTAAGGTGGTTAAGGAAGCAGGCCTGTCGATCCTAAGATGCAAGATGAAGGACACAAATTTCTGGACGAACGCATGGAAGCAGGACAGGATTACATAATCGTCGACTTCTTTCTTCCAAACCTTCGTTCGTCGAAACTTTGTGAAACGTCATTTTGCCTTTTGCACTTGATCAGAGCGACGTGTCGCAGAGGTTCTCGGAATCATATTGAGTCCAATCACTCGTGCTACTGAGTTTTTCCTCTTCACTGCGGTTGTCCACCGTGACACCGAGAGCAGCATTTTTGTCGGACTTTCTGGCGATATGTCTCCATAGTCACAGCGGTGTGCATTTGGAACCAACATCTGGCGTCAATCAGTGAAATACCGGGTGCTTCCCTCGTATCGTATCAGTATTTCTTCTTGAAATTGGAATGGTGCGCTTATCTTGATTGATTCGATGGCGAAAATTCTAAATGAACCTGCAGCTTCCCTGTTACTGACGGCCCGGCATCCGTGGATGCATCTTGTGCTGCCTCCGTTTGCGTTATGATAGTACATATCAGGTACCCCGATAATACAATGCATGTTGTGCAGCAGTCCATCTTAAGCTACCTGGGGTAAGCTTCAAAGCTGAGATAGTCCACGAGCTCTCATTTGTGTATGAACATGACAGATACTGTGCTCGCACTGTTCCGGTCGCTGATCTGATGGATGAATGATTACCGCGTTCCTTGAGTTGGAGCTTGCGTCGTCTTAACTAGGCGTCGCGAGTGCCTTCTCCGAGCTCGGACTCGTGTCTCACGCAATCCATCAAATGAATAAATCATCTAGGTGTAAATTGATTGTCGTTTTAACATGGTTCTCCAGATTCAATATTTCATGTGAGCCAATCACAATGAATCCTTGGTTCCATCTCAATATCTTCCGTTTCTCACTTGGGCTCTGGAGGGAAGGGATAACAAAGAAGGACTTATTTTTTTTCTGTTTTTCGCTCCGTGGAGCTGCGAAATTGTGTTCTGACAAGTTGGTATCTTGACATATTCTAGAGCAGTTTAGGTAGACTGCGCCCGCGAGCCACGGTTGTTTGTGTCTCTGTTTTGGACCTCGTTCATTCATCTCCCCACCTAAAACCTTTACCATTCACTAACAAATACTATTCCTTAGTTCATTCTATAGACATGCCGCAGCACACCCAGGCGCGTTCTTGGGGTACTCGTTTTGACACATTACTCTCTGCTCCTCCTCTCTCCCCAACAGAAGATTCTAATGTCACTACCCAAGACATCTCTTTGAGCGCTTGTGACGACTCTAAGAAGTCTGCAGATAAAATCGTTCAAGACGCTAGCATTTTCATCGGAAGGTACGTTATCTAGACACAACATAGCTCGCGTGCTCATCACAAACTTTCCCCCAGTCTACCAACTAATATCGATCATTTGGAGTTAACTCGTATGCTCTCTGATCACCTTTCTGATCATCCAGAGGTACAGACCATCAAGGTCGTTCGTGACTCGAAGGGTGGAACTTGCGCATTCATCCAGTGTCAGGTTTGTCTTCGCCATTAAATGTTCCCAGTATATTTCTAATGTTGCACCAGGACCCTGAGACAGCGGCCATGCTAATTGCAAATCTGCATTCGTCGGACCCTAAACCATTCATGGGGCGTTACTTACGCTATGAGCCCGCACGAGCCTTGAGAACACTACTCATATCCTATCGGTGAGTTTTCCTGAAGACCCGTCCCCACATGTACATATATGCGCTTGAATACGCGCATATATGCAGTAGTCCTCCTTCTCATCCCGTTTCTAGTACACCCCGACAGTTTGCGCCTTCGTCAGACACCAAATCGAGCTTTGGCGACCTTCAGGATGGTAAGGCTGTCGACCTTAATTTGCCTTGGGCGATGAAAATATCTAGGGTCTCAGGCTCCCGGTATATATTCTTCTCCAGTTTTTTTTTCCTCTCTGACGGAAGTAAAATCGCCAGGCACCTATCACTCCTGTACAATTCGGATGCGCGTACCGCAGCAGAGCTTGAAGGCCTTCTGCCTCTTGATGATCGAGAGGCAGATGAATCCGGGGCATATTTTAACCCGCTGCTTTATACCTCCGAAGTACTCATAGCCTAGCCTATGACCGGACTGTGGGTTCTAACTTTGCTCTAGACTCTAAGGAAGATATCCACCATCTTCGGGGCCATTGAACAT